ACTGCTGCTCTGAAATAATGCCTGTACAAATTTACTACTTGTACGTACATTTCCAATTTTAAATTTATTAATTTATAAGACTCACAAAGTAGGCATTTACTCACCTTTAATACCTTCCCAAAAATCATTACGATCTCTCCTGACTGAAGTAAATTTGCTTAGGTCATGATAAGTACTCCAGATATAAACATACTTATCTTCTGAGCCGCTAACGAGGTAACTAAAATCATGACTAAATTTGGAAAAGAAAGGAAAAAATATCAAACTTTTGGGATTTTTTAGGTTTCCCTCTATCAGTGCTTCCTACTATAAAACACCTTAGCAAAAAACTTGAGGGAACTTGTTAAAATGTAGACTCCTAGTCTTAGGTCAGAGGTTTTGAGCACTGTCTACTTAATTTGGGGGCCAGAGGGATTAGTATTTTCAAAGCTCTAGGTAACTGTGCAACTGTTTAACTCACAGTAGGAAGCCCGCCTACTTAAGAGATGAAAGAGAGAAGCAGAGTACATTCCCAATTAAATTACTGGGTGATTACTGGTATTATTCAAGAAGAAAGGAGAACTGATAAGAAGGGCTAAGAGAGAAGAATTTTAAGGAAGAAGAAGCAGGTATTTTAGGAGAGCTTCTAGATCCCAAGTTGAGTTCAAATAATAATCACATGTAAAGGTGTAAATACAATGATAGTGTTCTTTAGGGTATCAAAATGCTTTATTAGCTTCTATACCTAAAAGGATCAAGACCAGGGGGCGTGTGGGTGGGATGTAAATCTCTTTAAAAGCTTAAATAAAAGTTAGAAAGCACAAATTCTGGAGCCAAGAGTCTTCTAATCCTGACTTTGCAACTACCAGTCTGACTTCGCAAATTTAGTTTTCTGGGTCTTATTTTCTTCATTTATAGAATAGGGGCAGTTCTAACTCTACCTATAATAATATAATGTAGTGGAAAAGATATTTATTGCATGATGGTAACATGAGATACAGTTGCAAAAGTGCAAAGAAACTGAAAACACCATATAAACATAAGGCATAGATCAATGGAAAAACAGGAGTAGGGGAGAAATGTTCTGATCGCTCTGGGGATTTCTCACTGCCAATTTACCTGAAACTTGCTTTGATCTGGCTGCTGCTATTGACATAACCCTTGTATTTCATGGACAGTGACAAGTCTCTGAGATCATACAGTCTGATTCTGGAGTCATTTGAAGTTACCAGTATCTAAAATTAAATAAAAAGAGAAGTCAAAAATATCATCTTTTTTTTTTT